AACCCCTTAAAGAATAAAAGCCGAGGTGAATTTTAAGCGGTGTTCATGCGTTCTGTTTCCTCCCGCCACACACCCCGGATTTCCTTCTCGATTAGCATAATCTAACGTGTGGCGCGCGAGGCGGAGAAGATACTGGCTCGGTAGACAGGCTTTATACGAGCATTGTTATTATGTATTTAGTGTGTAACTCAAGTTGCCCGACTAGTTTCGGTGGGGGAGAGGGACTATCCCCAACTCCGGTACACGGGAAGGACTTAGCAGCCGGGCCAACTTATCATAGAACTTCGCGAGGCACATCGGAACAAGTCCTGTGTCTTACCTGTTAGGAAGTTTGTTACCATCCGGCTTGGTGCACAGGTGCACGAACGTACGGCACGTCACGGACTTTCGTGCCAGCCTATAAATTCTTTGACATTGGTTCCGCTGTTCATTTACCCCCTTAACCGTACAGAAACTCACAGTTTATACCGTGGAATGAGAAACATATATATTAATACTAACTTTTGTATATTTTTTAGTTGTCTGAAATTTGCAGAAGTTTTTGAATTTATGAAACGAACTAGGGGAGTACTATACGGTTGAAAAGTTTCAGTTAAAGTAGGTGTATTTAGCTAGAACTGTAAAGCTTATTATACGTTTGCTTGGAGTCTAAGATGAAGAATGTGCGACGAAGCCTTATATCCTATTACCAACACTTCTGCGGTTCTTGTTGTATGTGTAGTGGAATAGGTAACTGGAACCACAGCCACAATTCCGTCAAAAGCGCTTGTGTTCACCGCTCGAGGGTATTGACCCGCGATAGATTTAGTTATTCCGTTTATTTATACCTTTCGAATACGATTAATCGTTTCGTTCTAAACGTGTTGTTCCACCGGGCATCGCTATATCAAGTAACGTATTCTTCAAATGTATCGAAACTATGTTTAGTGGGTAATAAATACAGGTTGAAATTATAGGATCGCTAGGAACCTCAGACGTGGATTGCAGTATGAAGTGTCCCGTATATTATTACCGATACCTTCGCCTCTCTTTTCAAGTGAAAGATGGGGCAGGTAACTGGAACCACTTCGACAAGTCTGTCAGAAGCATGTGGATTTACTGTTCGAAAGCATCGAGCTGGTAGATTTATCTGTATCCTTAGAATATGATCAATCATGATCTTTCCACACTCACTTATCCTGATATATTCGCCATGGCATTAATTGCTTCAAAGACCTAATAATACAGGGTTAGTTCTAGTTGTCATGTTTTACATTAAGCATATTTCTTTTTTTTTTTCAAATGATTTTTGTTTCTTTGTATGTTTTCTTTTTTGTCCTAAAATATTTTAAAATGTGTTAAAATTACGAGTATGTTTTATATTTTACTTAAATTTTATTTTAAATAGCATATGCAAATTTTTTGTTATACTCGTCATTAAACAAAAAGTACTATCTTTTCATAACGAGTATACTCGACATAAACATCGTATGGTTTAAGCGCGTAAAGTGTAAAGTACACCATAAAATGTCTGAAAACCTTGTAAGACGCTCAAGTAATTTACATTTACGACGAACATCTGGTCCGAGCGCACAAATTGGGCTAGTGGAATAAATTTTGGGTTTCATTTCGACTGTGGAAGTTCCAGGTTATTAGTGCGACTATTTTCTTTCTCGTCTAACTGCGACACTAGTCGCAAGGCGTCACCTAAAACGTTCTTCGTCGCGAGGAAACTGTTTCGTGGAGTTCAAGGAATGGATTAAGATGTATTGCCGCGGCTGGGAAATATTTCTTCGTCCGTGAAAGTTCCGCGGCTCCATGAGTAATTATACGAGCAAACGAGTTTCTGTCGTTCCCCTCGCCCCCGTCTCACCTTCGAATTCTCTCAGTTTTCCACCGTTTCTCTCTCTCTGGTTCGGTCCTCTTTGGCTGCTGACTGCAGTTAAAAGTGTAACGAAATTCAACAATAAAACGAGTCTGCGCTCCCGGTTGTTAAGATAATGCCCCGGTCCGTTACTCTCTAGAACGTGAAATCCTGGGGAATAAAAATATAATGACTTTCGTAAAACTGGATTTCACAATGGGGTGTTCGTGTATAAGTCTCGATCTTGAGAGACAACTAGTCGCTCGGATAGTTGTGTCGGTCGCTGAAAGGCTGAGATCGATGATAAAATTTTAACAGCGGAACTGCGATTTTATCGATTTAATATAGACATTTAATTTATCGTTCCCTCTGCTCTCCAGATCGCTTTCTATATATCTAGTTCTTAATAAACTTTTATATCTTTCGAAATTTGTACTTAAAACAACGAAGACGTTATAGTAATAATAATAATCATATTTCTTTACTAGAGGGAATGCATATACTAATGAACACTGCACTTAACGTTCACGCAATAATTGAAGCATCAATCGATCGAAACTAAAGTTTTGCAATTAGCGATATTAATATGTTATTACATTTCTCAATTATTGTAAATGTAACAAAGTTCTCGCGAATTGATCGAACAGTTGCGGGACGTTTAATTCTGATAATAATAATACAATTCTACTGTATTCGGATGTACCATTACTATTATAATATTCATTATTACTTCAGTTAATAATGGAAAATCTACCATTCGAATAAATTATTGATATTCATAAATAGTTCCGATAGTATTATAACAGCGTACAATATTCAACCAATTATTACGGATCTTCGCGGATGCTTTAGCCTGGCAGACTGTAACCCATCGTCGGTCGCAATAACCAAAGCGAATTTCATGACCGCGCGCATAATTTATTATCAGGGATATTGCGTATACAGTCAACAGTTATACGGCTGCGTAATAGATATTGCCAGTCTGGCTTATAATACCGGCCGCCTTCCGGGCGTCTAACCGTTAACGAGATTAATCCATCCATCTGAACACAGAGTTCAGAATTTCTGCCACTGGAACGGGAGTAATGAAACGGTATCAGGGGAGAAACCAGGCTACCTTTCCGACTTTGTTCTTGCGAGGGGCGTTTTAATACCATTTTCATCTCGATCGCGGGAAATACGTTCCTTTTGACGATACGTGCCCGGATATTATTCGAGGAGGGGAGTGGTCATAAATCAGATACGATTGAATGTCATCGTATGTTTACGGGTCCCGTGATTATTTCGACAAAGATAATTCTTACCGAATAATCCGATAATAATTACCGAATTAATATTCGGGTTAACCATTGAACTCGTACGTGATAGCTCCAGCTCACGTCAAATTAATAAGTTGTATTAGGTGAACAAATTAATTCGTGACGAAAAAAAACAGGAACCAATAGCTTCAGCGTTTCAATTATAGAGGTTGGTAGATGTACTAATCGAAGATCGTAAAATTAGCTCTCCGAGGGTTCGACGTCTATTGACCCGGGGCGGGATCAAATTTGAGCTCTCTTTAGTTGTCCTCATAAATAGACTTGTCAATGGACAGTTGCGAGAATGAGATTGTGACTCACGTAATCATCATTGGACTGCGGATATTGCGTGATATTTCTGTAGTCACCGAGGCAACCGTACTATTTCCATCCATATCCCCCAGCAATTACATCAGAAAGGTAACTGATATACTTTTCGCGCGCAGTTAGCTTCTAGAAGTCACGAATCGATCGTCGTGAAAGCAGAACCGTCCGCGGAAAGTTTTCAATTACATTAGAGCCGGAGCATATTAAACGCATCTTCGGAGATTCGTTCCCGGCGCTCCGGGGGATACACCATTGCGATATCAATTTTTCCTCTTCCTGCGACGCGTTCCGAGGCAGACAGAGGGCCGCGGCCGGTAAACTTATAAACTATGAAAGTTACTTTCCCATTCAATGAATTGACCGCCAGGCGCAGTCGGTACGTGCCTCTTTTTCCATTCCGTCTGCGACTTTCTTGCAGGCAGAGTTCTTCCTTCTCTTACTTCTTTTCATTTTTTATTATCTATCGCTGCGCGTGAGAAAGAATACAATGCTGCCGTCCGACCGGAAAATTACAAGTTCTGTCCCGGCGGAGCTCGTCCGCCCTGGGGCCCTCTTCTGTTCGTCGTCAATGTAGGTCATCGTGGTTTTAAATACGGCTATCATACGTAATTTACACACAGGCACCTTGGCATAGTTCTCGATTCAATCCATCACGTTCTCGCGGAGTGGCTGGATATCGATCCTTGGTGATACACACCCGAAAATTGACGTTAAGCGGTTAGACTCAGTTTTTAATGATAATCTGTTCCTTCGCAGTACGAAGTTTCATAATATTAAATATTTCTTATAGTTATACAAGGTTTTATAATAAATGTTCTATAAAGTTGTACAAGGCTGTGTAATGGCACGATAAGAAGCTGACGAGATTGATATTTATAGTGATGTATATCGTCGACGGCTACAGATAGTAGAAATAGTAACGAATGGTCAGACGCATAATCGAATCTCCTGTGAAATCGATTTTTTCAAAACTAAAGCCTATCGCGAAATTTTATAATAATTTTTCAACGATTTGTTAATATCACCTCCGTTTCGTAGGCGGACTTTTATAATATCCATCATTATTTCTACCATTTTTTTCGTCTACTTATGAAACTTCCAACTTCTTCTTTGTGGATTAATTTAGGATAGTCTTTAACCAGAGTGTTTAATCCTTTCAGCGATTGGATGCCCAATGACTTGCTTGTATTATATTCTTAAATTTGTCACGTTTGGGTTTTTTTAATTATTAATCCTACTAATTTTTCAATACGGGTTCATAGTGCGCATTGAAGGGCCTTTTAACACTTGGTATCGGGAATTACTGAAATTTATGCCAAATTAACATTCGGTTTAACATTTGTTTCAGTACTTGGAATAAATTTATCAAGTGCTAGAAGGCCCTTCTTCTACGTCACCTTTTCCCCTACTGGAAGCCGAGTTTGCTCCTATCTGTACATTGTGCAGTGTTGTATAGAATTAAGTGATTTAAGTAAACCATATAACACACCGTCTTGGCATTCACAGTAATGTTTCGTTTCTTTTTGTTGCAGAAGTCGAGAGGAGTGCAGGAGCTGCACCGGGGGCGGCGGGTGCAACTGCAGGGGGCTCTCGGGGGTTGGCACCTACCCCTGCCCCCTCGACGCCCTCGACCCCCGTCATCACCACTAGCCCCTCGGCCTCAACCTCTTCGACATCGACGTCACCTTCACCTTCTTCTTCGCATTCTGCCGCCGTAGCGAGTTTCGACAAATCGGTGCTACAGGTAAGTCTATTTTTCTCTTTCTTTACTTATCAATCCAATACTGACGACCTAACGAACGTATCGTTTTCATTAGCGTGACAAACTTTCTAAGTTTTAAACATTGAAGAACAGATCACGTGTGTTTGATTATTTCACTACTTTTCTGCTTCTGTAATATTAAGCTCCATAAACTTTAAACTCAGTTTTCTCAGTTTAGAAACTAGTGGAGGTAGAGCAATTAAGAACTAGTACGACGAATTTTCGTCGATCGCTGGAAATTCCCCAAAGCGGTATTGATATACAGTAGACACGTATTAAATCGCCTGAAATATATTATTTCCTGCCCGGTGTACACGCTCTTTTCTCCAACGGAATATTCCAAGGATCTCACGACCCTGCGACGAAGCTTCAGCAAAAAGACGATTTCGACACGTATGCAGAGAGTTGCCGTCGGCTAGATTTCCGTGCCGTTGAAAGCATCCACGAAATTCGCTCGTCGCGAGAGGGGTATCCGAAAATTCGGAATATTTTCCGCGCAAGACGAGAGAGAACCCCGAAATCGCTCGGAGCAACAGGCTGTGACACGGGACAAAAGGTCACCGACTGCGGGGTCCAGACGATAACGTCCAAAGAATAACGATCGCCATTAACACTAGAACTACCAACGATAAACGCATATCTTTTTCGATCGATCGAAAAATATGGCAAACTTTTGAAAATTTATAAATCAACTAATTTCTTTAATGTCGTATCGTACTAAAAGTTACAAAAGATCTGAGAAAATGTATTGTTATAAAATTTTAATCATCGTTGTAAGAGTGTATTGGCAAGTCATTTTGACTTGCTTGGTAGTTCTAGTGTTAACCCGGCTCGTGGCGAAAATTCGACGTTAAATCGAACACGCGCATGAAACACGACTTGTGAAAAGTTTCCCTCGTCTTCTCGCGACTAGAAGGACAAGCAAGTCGAGGCTGGTTCGGGGATGAAACAGAAATGGCGGTGGGGTTAGTTACGATAGTGCAGGGCCCTTTGTCTGCCCTACGGCACCCTTGGCTAATTAAAGTTCATAAATTACGCGGACCTGGAAAGCGACTGACGAGAGTATGGCAACGGGCATAGAGGACGAACGTGCCCGAAGGCGCGAGTAAAGCAAGCGTAGAGGCCGAACGACGACGAAAAATGCGTTGGACAGCGTTCCCAGGCAGTTGAAATATCCGAGTCGTGGGTCGGTCTTTCCAGGTACTTTTCGTACCCGTAATGATATTTCTGGAATTTAATTCTCTTGTCTTCAGCTCGTGCCTGGGCACAGCGTCCGAAAGTGATTCGTGTTGGTGGGAGTTGTTAGGTTTCTCTCGGTTTAATTCATTCCAAGGAATTATTTCACAGGAAACCACTCTGGTCTACCGTAGTGGTTCGAGAATTAAAAATAATATAACCGAATATTCCAACGAATAATACGAAAGTCTGTCGTTCTTAGCAGTGTTTGTAATTCCGACTGAAGTAAAGACTCTGAATCACTGTAGAACACTGTACCACGCCTGTGCTCTCGGAAATTTCACAATGTACACCCGACGAGGCAGGCGAAGGCAAACATTATTTAGAATCTAGGGTAGCGAGTTCTTTCAACGAGCTTTTCAGGAGCCACGGGAAATTTCGTTCGGAGACACAGCGTAGAGCTTCCTCGAGGGCATTTAAATTCACACGCCGTGGCACCGGGCAATCTGTGCCCTGGAAATAAGGGGTAACGTGCGTTCTATGCTTTCCAAAGTAGGCGGGACGGTCTAACTAGATTACCAGTGTGTCGCCGAAATTAATTCCCCTTCGATGCCCGGTGGGCTCGGACATCGATTGATTCTGAATCTGAACCGAACGCCGGGTCCAACGCCAATTATGCTTGTTACTTGAGATTTTTACTACATACTACTTGGTATGTCTGACAAATAACAAGATTGTCAATTTATTAAGTCAAACACTAACTGTTTTTCTAAAAGTCGTTCATTTTATCTAAAGTATGTTCCTTCGGCATTGTACAACACTTGTTCAGGGTTAACCATTATATGTATAGATTTATAGAGATCTGCTTTCGGAATCGTCTTGAGTATTCTTATCACGGCTATTCTAGAAATTGGGCAAGATTATAAGGAACACTTGACAAACTGTTTCATTATACAGGCTAAGTTATTTGATCAGAGACGCGACGACTCGAGGATACGTAGACGCTCGGAATATTCGGAGGAATCGTTCAAGCCCGGCAGAATATTCTGCCAGGGTTCGGTTATCAGGGACAGGAATTAGATTTGTGTGACGCTGGGTGGACAGCAGCGCAGAAACGGCGCAGGAAAGCCGAGCCGTTCATGCAGCCGTATAACTCGGTCAATTTTATCGAGTTACACTCCCGTTTCTCTGCCATCGCGCCGTCCTGATCTTCATTCATCCCGTACCCGAACCGAAATGTTCTTACCGGGTGCGAGGGGACCCTCGAAGGGTGGCCGAAATTCGTACGAATTGGACGTCGAGACTTACTCGACATGATCCTTTAATTTTATTTTCGTGCACAACCTTCTACTGATACTTTCTCCACGCATTTTCATACATTTCTTGTCAGTTTTAGCTATGTCTCGTTGCGTTACAGCGCACCTCGTTGACACTTTATTAACTGCTTGCAATAGTAATTCGTAAAAATTGATTTGAGGGACAGAAGAAAGAATTTGGATCCTTTCTTTCTTTTTTCATGCATTTTTTCGCTTAAGATTTAGCTTCTATATTGGGTTGAACGGAAAGTTTGTGCTTCGTTGGTGAGATGTCTGTGTACCACAAAGATTTTTCGGAGATGGTATGAAAAATATGGTATGAGTAATATCGACTGATGGAACTTATATCATTGATTAAACGAATCACTTTCTGTAAAAACAATACAGTGGAATTTATTTATGATAGAATCACACGAAATTTTCGATCAAACAAACACATTTTTAGTCGTACTTCGTCTTTTGTTGCCTGGAAACGTATTATACTGACTTATCGTGCGGTTGTACTACTTGCGACACCTCGAAGCCGGGTCTATCGGCTCTTAAAAAGTTTCCTCCACTTGCGAACGAGTGGAATACTTTCCAAACTTGCTATCATAAAACAATATTAAAACGATATTACGATTTTTGTTGTACTTTTTCTAGTTTCCCATATACTACACATTTTCATGTTTCTACTTTTCTTCATTTTTATGTTGCTTAAATAATCCATTTATTCTTATAAAATTTTAGTGCTTTTATAAATGTAATTACTTTTCATTCGATAATATCTATTCCATTTCTACTTCTCTATTCATCCTTTCTTTTTTAAATTCTCACCATTTATTACACTTCTTATTGTATACCCCTGTAACAATAGAATTTCTTTGATCAACTGTATCTATGTCACCTATCTAACGTATCTTCTAAATCGAATGTATGCGTTTCATATTCCCACGAACAATTTACTTTCTTCCCCCCCCCCCCACATCCAATACGGATAAAAATCCGTAATTATCTTCCTCGGGTAACTTTTATTGTTACCTAGCCTATTGTGTCGATCCTACGAGGTACGCTTTTCCTATTTGCCGAGTCAACAGTCAGACTGCGCGTCAGTCCGACGTCATAACAGCTATCTCCCGCCCTCCGTTTCCGGCTGTGCTGTCTCGCTGACAAGTATTGTGCTGTTTGCATAAAGCGATGAGAGGCATCGAGGTAACGAGACTGGAGCAGGAATCGAGTTGCCAATGAAATTCTATTTCGCCTCATCCCGTGTTACGTACGTGCTACCTGTAGAATTGATCGTGTCGGCTTGGCAACGTTCACGGGGAGATTCGAAAAACTGTCCTCACCGACACAGAATACAGGATCGAGGGTGTGTAGTGCTCTAGAAAGTTTTGCAATTGGCGCGACTGTTGACCGTTCAAGTTCTCCGAGAAAGCACACGAAATATGTACGAAATAATAGATCCATTTGATGATGCTTCAGCATATTCTCTCGATATTAGTCCTGGTGTACAGATTAATTCTAATCGAGTGTCACAAAATTCGCTAATGTTTCTCGATAAGTCATCACTGACTAATCGAATTATTCATTCTCAAGAAGAAAAATAGATATCGGTAGACAGTTTAAATATTAACCCATTAACAGTCAAATAAAATCGCAACATGTGGCAAAAAAGTTCCTATTTTTGTATGTGCTAAATTAATTTTGTAAATAGAAAGTATTTAATCTAATAAATAGAAAGAAACACGCACAAACACAGTCGACTATACGTACAATGTACATTTAAATAATCTTCAATGTTTGGCTACTTTAAACGTAATTTTGAACGTAACAGGTCAAAGGGGTTTTCCAGCATCGTTTTCCACGTCTACGGTAAAACAGCGTGTGCATGCCTTTTACTTTCGCAGCCGGGACTCCTCTTTCCCGCCTCGATCGAGCGTCATGTTTCGCGAGTGTACGTTCCATCTGCTTCGTGTTATGTGCGAGACCGTCCCGTCCCCGCTGTGTCTTTTCTGGCACACACACGGGCTATTTCGTACTCCATTTTCCTTTGAGCCGGTCGTAGTATCCGGCTTATTAGATTCTTGTCGGCTGTCGCGAGGAAATGTTTTCCGATCCGACGTCCGACACGGCGCGCATCACCCTCTGTAGTCAGAGAATGCGACTTCCCACCGGTTCTGTTTGTATTAAACTCGGTCCTTCGTGTCGACTGTATTTTCATTTATCGTCTGCTTCGTGAGTGACGAAGGGACACGGAATATTATACCGTAAAAGTTTTTGTTTCGAGGCCTCGATTTGTGTCAAGAACTACGTTTCTTTGAGATTCTGGGATAAGTGTTGGGCAGTCCATCACAGTCTTCTTATCAGAAGAGTACCTTGTCTGCTCCCCTCTGTAGGCAGATCCCTCAGGAACAATCATGAACCCAAGAAACTGTAACTTTCTCTCGTGTGTTTCACAGAAACAAGCCTACGTCATTGATAGTCGAATAATCTAAGGTAGTCTTCAGC